GGGATCTTGGCAGCACGTTGTGGAGCGTTGTGCCACCTCTCCGAGGGAGCCAGTAAAGGCGGGAGCGCACTTGTTGCAGCGTCTTGCATGCATAGGGACAAACAGAGCGATGCTCTCTGATGTGGCAGTCTCCATGCATGGTTTCTCGCATGGCATTGGTGCCGAAGAGAAAAAGGAAGGAAAACGGCACGGGGAGTGGGTTTCTCTTATCGGTAAAGGGGCTGTAAGTGAATCACTTCCCCCTTTGCCCCCTCAGCTTTACAGCTCTGTGTTGGTACCTGTATGAACGCTCTCACCCCAGTATAAAAGTGACCTATATCCAGTTTGCTTAAATTTGTTCTTAAACATCAATTGAACAACAGTGGGTCTGGCTGTGTCTTTGTGCTTGTATATACACCTGCTCTCACTGCAGTACAGGTTGTCTGGTTGTACTGGTCGAGTTGGCCTTGGACAAGTATGGTTGAACATGAATTTCCCTGAGTATGATAAGCACTTGGATTATTTTTTACATCTTGGAAAATCTACTGGCTTTCCCTTTTGTGGTAGCTGTGTGGACTGTTTTTCTCAAAGCTTTCAGCTGTTGAAAGAGCAGAACTGAGGAATTTCAACCCAGAGGGTAACTCTTCAAGCAAGCCCTGAAAACACACCGCACCACAGACCCAGCGGGTGGGAAATGTTTTTGGTGCACTGGGACAGTCGTCCAAATGGTTTTGCTTTCTCCTCAGTCCAGAGCAAAGCTGGTGCGAGAAGGTGACTTTGTGGCCACTTCCCATCCCTTGAAGTAGCTGGAAGTCTGTGCCTGCAAGCTGCAAGTTTGTTCCTCCAGCTCAGGCCTCAGGCAGTGTCTGCTCAACCTGCTCTGCTCCCAGCTGCCCCAGGCTCACATGGGAATTGTGGCTGCACAGAGGATGCAGGTGTGGGCCCAAGCTTGTGTCTCAGGAAGACCTTATACATGGCTGCATTGAGTCAGGGATTTTTTTTTTTTTTTTGCCCCTTTCAGCTCCTGTTCTTGTTCTGTACTTCCTCACGCTCCCCCTAGATGTCTTGTTCCCCTCCTGAGCCTGCTCGACCTGGGAGACCCCTTGTTGGAGCTGGGCTTGAATACCAAAGATCTTCCTGCTTGTCTTGGCTGTCAGTTGGCCTAAGGTAGCCTGTGGGGCAGGTGGCAAGGGCATAGATGGATTGCTAGGTGTTGTTGTCATGCTCTTGCTGTTAATGTACCGCTTTACTGCTGTATTGATAAAAATCAAGAATTTTAAACTCACTTGGATCCATTTCCAGCATCACGGCCCTTTCCCTGCTTCTCAAATGCACAAGACTTTCCACATCAGCGCTCTGTCCCCAGTGTTTAACAGACTTTTAGCCTCATGCCGAGTCAAGATGATTTCCATCCCTCTCCCACCAGCATCAGGAGAGCTGCTTCCTTCAGACAGGAATAGGCAGAGAGTGTAAAAATCTCCCTGTGTCGAAGTAGCTTGTGGAGGAATGCAAGAGGATTCGGCTTTCAGATGTTTTCACGCTGGCACTTAACTGTAACCCAAACTGCAGTGGATGGTGGTGTTGGAGGGCAATCTGTTCAAGTGACAGTAGGTCCTGGGGGGAGCTCTGAAGATTTTCTACCTGCAGGTAGGTCTCTGACCGGGAGGCTTATCCAAGGTCTTGGGAAGCTCTTTCCGAGGCCTCAGGCAAGTGTTATCCCTGCAAACACGCAACTGCAGGCCTCTGCAGCCCTCAGCCCCTTCATCTGCCCCTCTGTTTACGGGGTTTATTTTTGGAAGGGTGCAATTTCAACCTACCACACAGCTTTTAAAATTGCAGCAAGGCCCAAGCAAATAAACCGTAGGCCACAGAAGCGCTGGGACAGTGTCGGGAGGCTGGGACTTCATGGGGTCCGGTAGCGCTCATGCGCCTGCAGATTATGCAAAAGCTGGCGGCTTCCAGCAGCCCCATTTCCTTTCTGCTCGCCGAGGCTCTGAGGTAGCGTCTGCTCGCAGATGCCCTTGGCTTCTCCTCCGCTCGCGCGTCAGGAGCGAGCTGCCCCCGGGTCCCTGCAGTGTCTTCTCAGCTCAGCTGAGCAGGGAGTTCCCGCTCGCGCCTCTGGCCTGATGGTAACCATATAAAGTGGTCTGCTGTGGGAAAACGAGCTCGTAGGGAACCTATGGAGACTTTCTGTGACCGCTCGTTTTGGGAAACCTCTGTGTCATGGCACAGCTTTCCCCGTTTCGTAATGACTGGGGTTGGCTGCTAGCACTGAAGGCTGGAATACGTTTTTAGCTGCAAACCTTTCTGGACATCATCTGGGACTGTCTGCAGCTTATTTTAAACATGCTGGATCTTCCTTTGTTTTAAGACTTTTGATCTGCTCCTTGTAAGCTAAGCCTTCGTCTGACTCTTTAAGCTTTTTAAATTTATTTGGTTTTTGGTCTTGGCTGTGTAAGACCACCAGTTGCTTTTTGGTCTGGTCTGGTTCTGGGCTTTTTATGTTGGGAGCCAGCTGATGGGTTGCCCTTTGGGAGATCAGGGTATTTGTGCTTATTTTTAGCTTTTAATTGGCAGTGATCTGCACTCCGAGCTGCGTAACGTCAAGGGCTTTTCTGTTTTGTGCTCTCAAGAAGCCTTTCGTTCTTTCATCTGGATGCAGCTGTTTCTCCCTTGCTTACCAAGCGCAGAGCACGCGGGGAAAACTGCTTTAAGTAACAACCTAAAGGCTCGCAGAGGTCAGGTATGTCGTAGAGTTGAGTCTCGGTGAGCTGATAGCAGCATCGCAGCCCGCAGGGGCCTGCTGGCTTGTCCAGGACACCTGGACTCTCTTCTGAGAAGTGACACTGACCTGCGCTGTGACTGTGGGGGAATCGCTTCCCTGCTCTAGGTAGCTTTTTTTTTTTTTTTTCCCCTCCTCTTCCCCTGCTTTGTCTTGCCCTCTTTAATTGTAACCTCTTTGGGCCAGGAACTCGGTGCGTATGAAGGGCCTGGAACAATGTGCCCCAGATGTTATTGTGTGAATCCTTTCTCGTCAGCCACGAGATTTCGCTCTACAGGAAAGAATTTTAAAAATACAGGTTCTTCTCAGTGTTTTGTACTTGCAAATGTAGTCAGGAGCCTGCCAGTCTTTGATAGTTCAGGTCTCAGTGACAGGGGATAGCATGAGCATTTGCTTTAAAATCCCCCCCGTTTTCTCACCCCTATGGCTGCAGGGAAGAAGCTTGTAAATGTGACTGGAGCAGACCTGGCAAACTCAAAAACCAGATGGCAAATAAAAATAACCCAATACTTCAACAAAAACAAAGAGAACCCCTTCTTTGGGTTTCAAATGATCTCGGAGTGTTAGTTTGCCCCCTTTATGATACTTTTGGTGTTTTTGTGGTTCTGTTCAGGGAGGTGCTGAAGCTGCTTGCGCTTGTCTGCAGCTTATTTCACTTTCAGGTTCTCTGGGGTTGGAGCACTTAAATTGCAAACACTGCAGGGGAGTGCTTATTTGTTTTAAGACCACAGCTTCCTTTGGAATTTCTTCTACCAAACTTCAGGCCATTTTTTTTTCCCCTTCTTCTCTTTTCCCCAAAGAGAGAAAGAAGTTTTCTTAATCTCATTTTGCATCAGATTTGAAGTCAGGCCAACAAATCCAGCCTCGGAGGGGCTTTTCTGAGGCTACTTGCCTCGGTGTGACCTTCTGGGTGAGGATTCTTGCTCAAAATGCAGCAAGTGCATCAGGTTTGTCAGGGAGGTTCTTCCCTGAGATCCTTCTACACCCGGGGGACAGAATCGGGCATGTGCACTTTCCTGTTGCTCATCCAGAGGCTACTGTGCCTTGAATACACGTTCTGCTCCTAGAAGTCCAAAAGGGCTGTTTGCTCTAAAGCAATGAGCGTCCTGGCGTTTTACCAAAGATTTCTGTTCCTAATTTCAATTTTTTTTTTTTTTCCAGTTTTAAAAACTAGAGATTCCCTTATGGCACGTGGTGGGGAAACCTGATCAGGCACTGAAAGCACACTGAGAGGTGGGACCCGTTTTCATACGGAGGTACAGCGAGGCACTGCCTCTCCTTGGTGCTCTTCAGATGCCAAACAGATTCCTCCCCGCAGTCAAATCCCCGTGGCTTGTCTGCGTAGGGAAGCCGGTGGGCAGAGTTTGGAGGAGCGCCGCTGGCCCCGTCCCTGCATTGACTCGCACCATCGCTGTTTTGGAGACTTCCTTCTGCTGTGGCTGCCCGACTTGGGGAAAAGGGGAATCGCAGTTCAGCAAGGCACCCGCCCCCAGGGCGGATGGCAGTGCCGTAGCCTCACCGGTCATTGCCCCAGCACTGCAGGCTGAAATTGGGATTTGGGGCTGGGTGCTTTGGGAGGGCTGTTCCCAAGGTCGGAGCCTGCAGCGCAGGCAGGGCTCGAGAGTCACGCTATGCCACCGTCGGTGTTTGCCTCGGCCGGGGAAGACGGCACAGCCTCCGAGTGCTCACAGGAAGCCGTATTTATTAAGACTAGAAACTTATTTTTTCCCTTCTGGTAGGGCTCTGTCTCGTTCCATTGTCTGAAATACCCTTGCAGGGACTGGACCATAATTCCTTTAAAGAAAAAAAAAAAAAAAACGCAGGGGCTGGGACTCCCTCAGCTCCGGCCGTCGGCCGCCTGACTCCGCACAAACAGTCTGCGCCTGAAATCCCCTCCGACTGAGCATAAAGGTCTGATTCAAACCGAAAATTGGGTATGAAGCAGCATGGGTTGCACAGCGCCTGCTGCTTCCCCTTGCCCCGGTACGTGCCGGCCCTCGGCAGCAGCC